ACCAGCAGCATTCATCTTCTGAAGAAGATTCATACCCTAACCCTCGTCCATATTTATAATAATCATCGGGTTTCCCTTTTGGTACATGTGCTGCTTTGGCTGGAGTACGAGGACCTCGATCGAAGTATAGACCTTCTCCGAGTGTGAAATCATACCCCTGCTTTTCCATGAGCTTGCGCGCTTCCAGACTATACTTAGATAAATGCCGACCAGGTTTGTCATCCTCCTCATCTTCCCTTAAGAAATGATCTGGTAATGGAGAGATTTTTCCTTTACCGTAAATCACTTCTTTTGCACCTCTTATTTTGTTCGGGATAACCATGGTTGTTCCGAAAGAATACTGGAGGCGTTCCTTTGTTATATAGGACGATCGAAGCGGTATATACAAATCAGGATTATCATACAATTCTTTTATCACATCATCAAGAGACAGGGAGTACTCTAAATCGTTATTTATTTCATTATTGGCAAGTTGCCAGTTACAACTGCCCTCTGACGCCTGTGGACGCCAACTTGCTAACTGGAATGTCGAGGAAATGCATCAAGCGAAGCGGCATAATACTCACAGCAGAACCCGGATCCACTTGGATTCGGTTGACTTTGCTGGAGCCAATGTACCCGATGAAATATAGCGGTCGATCGTGGTTCGAATTCTTCGTTTGCATATCCTCTTTGGTGAAAGTAATGCAGGGAAGATTCTTAGTCGCTATATTGCAGTGTTGACTCAACGGTTCTGGCTCTTCAGGCACCGGCTTGATTTGAGTCAGAAACACCTCTGAATTGGCCAAAGCTTCTTGCAAGGCCTCCCTGGTTTCCTTGGACAATCGCAACAACTCATACAACGTTATCCGTGCTGGAATGTTGGCTAGTTGAGCCATTATATCGAAGATTTGCGGAGTTTTCGAGCTTTCCGGTTTGTCTCTTCCGGAATGTTGGCTAGTTGAGCCATTATATCGAAGACTTGTGGAGTCTTCGAGCTTTCCGGTTTGTCTCTTCCAATCGGGCGACTGAAACGAGACTGCTTCGGATTCTGAACCTCCTGGGGATTCTTCTCTTTCGGTTTATTCACCGGCTGTCATCGAGCCTCTTCGCCCGGTGTAGGATTCGTAATCACCCTCATCTCCGTGAGAGTTTTGGCTGGTCCCCGTTTATTCACCACCTGCTCACTAGGTTGTGGATAATTGTAGTGATACTCATTTCCGCTTCTAGTGGCGAAGACTTCTTGTTCTTCTTCGGAGAGCGGGAAAGTAGGAGCTTCATCGCCATCCTCCTCGAAGATTGCGGATGTAGCATTGCAGGACTTGCCTTTACCCTTTCTTCTCGAGGAAGTCACCCACTGTTCGTCTTCAATGAGATCGGGATGAACCCAGAGGATTTCACCGTTTGGGGCTGTGTGTGGCACAAGTCCTTTTTGGCGCTGTCCATGTGGGTCATCGTTCACTGTCTTCATTCCTACTTTGGTGATGCGCTCTGGTTTGAACCATGTTGTGGGCACCGATCCAAAACTGATTGACACTGCGTTCACTCCGACATTCTTGGACGGCTTCGGGGTTATGACGCCTACATCAATCAGCGCCTGGATCTTGTCCTTGAGGTGGTAGCACGACTTGGTAGGGTGATGGACCGCTCTATGGTATGCGCAATACTTCGGATCCGTCACTTTGCTAGCCCCTTCTTGATCCACGATCGCTGGCAGCTGGATTTTGTTATTCTCCAACAGGTACTTAAAGATGTCAGGAACTTCGTCATCTTTGAAGGAATACACTTTAGGAAACCTCGGCTCCGAAGATTTCTGCTTCTGAGGCCGTTGGTGCCATTGCCCCCGAGATTGTTATGGCGCTTGTTGCTGCGGATGTTGCTGGGGTTGCAATTAGAAAGTTTGATTAGCATCAACTGCATTAGCATGTGCCTTACCTTTCCCTCGTGGGACAAAATTCTGTTGCGGAGCATTATTCGCCTGTTGGCCTCTTTCCGCCTTCTTCCTTCTGAGGAACCGCTCGGCTTGCTCTCCTCGGACCTTCAAATCCTTTCAGGTTTTGGACGGTGCTGTCCCCATTGCTTCCAACACGTCCAGCGCGAGGTTGTTGTGGCAAGTCTGGAGAATAAACTCCTCAGTGATCGGGTCCCGGTAGTTCATCGCCTTGTTTCGGAACCTCTTGACGAAGGTGTCAACCAATTCCCCATCTTTCTGTTTCTCGTCAAGTAACGACCCGATGGATATCTCAGTGTCGTCATCGAAAAAGTTGGTGAGGAACTTAGTTTCCATGTCATCCCAGCTGTTCATGCTTCCTGGCTTGAGGCGGCGATACCAGTCGAAGGCGGCTCCACGAAGAGTGCCAACGAAGGATCGTACCATGAGAGGCTCATTACCAGAGATAACCACCAGGTGCGATTTGAAGTAAATCAAATGCTGAGTAGGTGAATCCATCCCATTAAACGGCGTGAAGTTAATTAGATTGAACTTCGCCGGATATGGGATTGATTCCCATTCTCTTGGGTATGGACAATGAATGCCTGTTTTCTTCATCTCTTGAGCGGAAATCAATGTATTGATTTTGCTCTCGAGGTTTTTGATCTTCAAATTTTCACCTGTGTTTTCACTAGCATTCTCATTACCACCCCCTGCATTGACGGGAGGATTATTGGCATTATGAGTCTCGTTTGCATTCGTGTCCTCATCTTCCAGATTAACCTGGTTACGACGACTTGGCTCCCCTTGCTGGTTCGTCCAATTTCTCTCATGTTCTGCTTGGCCATCTGCATTTCGAACCTGAAGGTCTCCTGTTGTTTAGCCATGGCCTCTTCAAGCATCTTGGCCACTTGTTCCGCACTTATCATAAGTGCCTCGCGGGGTTGTCCCTCGCTGGATACCGTATTATCTGATGCAACCGTGGAGCCGGCATCAGATTCTTCATCTTCTGAATGGAGTCTTGTCCGAACCCTACCATAGGTTGCTCGCTTGATGGTTCCGGACTAAAGACGGGTTATAGGCCGGGATGCTTTCAGAATCGACTCGAGATTATCTCGTGCCGATGTCCCCTTGCTGGTCATATTGGTGGTGACCCTCAGAAATTCTCCATCTTCGACTATTCTTCTTCTTCGTTGAAAACGCCTAGGTCTTGGTTCTGGCATTTCGGCACTGAGCCTTTTGAAAACTGAAACTCTTTTAGGGACCGCCTTGATGCAGTTGCACTCAGACAATACTGCCCGAATGAGTTTGGAACATGGGCATTGAGTTTCCAGTCCTCGGGGACTCTTCTTCCTGGTTTTATTCGTACCCCGAACACGATAGTACAATTCGTCTGCTTGACCTATCGTGTGTTGGCACGACTTCTCAGGTATAACATTATCGTCATCAGATAATAATGTTTCCTTCCAGGGTGAACTGCCTTCTTTGGGCCTTCAAGAGTCACGCGCCTCGAAACATGCCTTTTTGGGCGTGAGTTCTCAGCGGGCTCCTGGACTTCGATGTGCAAATTAGCATTTGCAGCTACCCTGATTTCTTTGTCATGTTGGAGGTGACGGCGACCCCCAGCATGTTGAGTCGTTCTGGGCTTCTTCATAGGGCCCAAACGTTCTTGGACTGGAGCTTTGCCTCTCTCGTCGGGATTTAGACCGAGGTGCTCCAAGACTGACTTTCTCCTTCGGGATGATTCCGCTGCATCTCCCGGAGAAGTTATGGGAATTACCAGCGACTTTGGTCGGCTCGCCGGAGGTTGAACCTGCTTCGAAGGCTGCACTGATTGTGCCTTAGTCTGAATCGCCGCTTCAGACTTCGGCCTCCAGACTTGGCGGGTTGGTGGTGGCTTCTTTGCCACTTCCTTCTGTAGCCTTCTACGGGCTTCCTGGATTTGAGCCCGTGCTTGCGCTGATAGTGCGCGGCGGTTGCGAATGCGCTCCTCAAGTGTCGAACGGTTCTGTTTGACACGGACTCATTCGTTCGTTGGCGGCTTGGAGGAGTCGCCATTCATCAGTGGTTGAGGCTGTTTGCCTCTCCTGT